CCCGGTCAGTTTGTGTTTAGTTCTTTAAATTGTTTTTTGTGCACTATATACTTCTAGGACCTGTAAGTTAACCCATGCTAATTTATTTTTAGTATAAAATTCTTATACTACTATTAATACTGTTAAAAGGACAGAACACAACATGTATGTTTGTCATTTACATGCAGTGTTTTTAAAATACAAAATAATGATAATATTTTAAACTGTGATAAAAGTTTAGGTAATTATTGTGATAGTCATCACAATAGCAGCATTCATATACAGCGCGAATACTCTTACCTGCCTCACGTCATTTACATCAGAAAACTGCAACACAGATCGGCCAAAATCAAAATATTTATTTTTAGTATAAAATTCTGTCTCGCTATGTCCTTCGGCAGGGGAGAGTGAAATATCAGGCGAGTATCAGGCAGTCCTGTTGTGATGTGGTTCTGCAAGGAACGTATAGTTCAGCGAACAGCTAACATTAGCTAGTTAGTTTTTTTGCAACTGTGAGCAACAAGTGACATTATGTTGGCTGAGGCGCAGTTTAGGGATTTTTTTGGAAAGGAGACATCATGGTTCACCTCCAGATTTTTTTTCCCATTCAAGTTTATTGTCTTTTTCACCTGACAAACTTTACTCGCATTTAATATGAACATGTTTTAACAGTGCTCATGAAGTACGGGGTCATTATCAATGAAATGTAAATTTTATCTGATACTGTGATATATTTGGAAACTGATATGATATTAAATATTATCAGTATCGCCCAGCATTATTTGACAGTGTTTTAAATACACATTGCATGTGAAATAAACAATGTAGGATGTGTACATAAGTGAATTTGTCTGTTGTGAAATATAACATGAATGAATGCTACAGCATTTGTTAAAGGATGACACTGTACAATACACAATACAAGTAAACAGGGCTCCATGGTTAGAACTGCACTACACATTCTCACCAAAAACAGTGGCAGGATATGACATATGGGAGCAGTAGGAGTGACATTTTTATATTTAGAGAAAGAGATAGGTTTGTCTGTGTGTTTGTGTTATTTATTGTTGTGTCACAGCTCTAGAAGCCAGGCTGAAGAAGCATGAAGAGCACGGAGGAGCTGCAGCTGATTTAGTGCAGTCTAAAACTAAACTGGAGATGATTCATCTTCTGCAGTGCACTCTCTCTCACGCTCTCCCTCGCTCTCTTGCTCTCCCTTTCTGTCTCTCTCGCTCTCACTCGCTTTCTTTCTGCATCTTCTGTCTCTTCTTCCTCTGTTAATCACTCTCTTTCTGATTTCCCCCTCTCCTTCACCCCTCCATAGTTCAGTTGTTTTCTCTATTTAAATCTCACCTCACGAATCACCTGATCAGATTTTAGCGTGTAATCTGGAAGACAGGCATGGCTAAGATCATGCAAAGTAGCATATAACCTAGCGAGGACTCTGCATTATGTGGTAGAATGGCAGGAATACGTGCATAAACACTGTCACTTAGAGAGCATTATATGGATTTAGTTGGGCTATAATACAGTGCATTCGCTCAGCCCCCATGTTACCCCTGTAACTAAATCTCTTGATGTCTCATTTTAGTCGACTTAAACACTTTAAACGGTTTGAAGAAGACATTCCTGTCTTATTATTGTAAGAAGCTGGTAATTTGTTAGGCTTGTTAAATGACTATAGCTGAATTTGCTCTTTTGTTAGCGTGTGGTGCATTTCATAAAAGTCATTAGAATGAGAGACTGGAGTATTGTTTGAAATCTCCGTGTGCACACTGCGCTGCAGAGGATTTCAGCCTCTCCGAACGTCTTACTTTATTCCAGCACAAGTCAACACCCACGTCCTCCATAAAGACTTACCTCTTAGAGAGGAGCAGAATATAAATATATATATTTGAAAGTGGAACTTGAAAGATGAGTAATAAATGTATTAACGAGTGGATGTACAGAGGCTCAAAGATAACTGAGCCGCCAAATTCCCAAGGTAATCTTTAACAGCTCTGGAGTACACGCCACAGTTTATAGTCTGCACACAGAAATGAAAGCTCATCCTCAGATCAAGGAAAATATATGTCCTCCACTCAGTACACATTATTATTGGAGATAAATCTTTACATACATCTCAAATGAATTGCTGTGGGAATACCACATGTCCCACAGCAGTAACCAGGCATAGCCCGATGCGTAAAACGCTGGCCAGGAGCACACATAAAATACTGCAAAATGCAACATAATAGCAAATCAAAAGCAGTTTCCAGCAAAGTGCATAAAATGTGGCATTAATTTCCTAATAATCTGAACGTGTATGATTTGTCGGAGTAATAGTATTGACTCCTGCCATTGTTTGGAGTGCAGCTTTTACTGCTGATGTTATTAATGGGCTTCCTGGCATGCCTGCCATGTTGATGCCAGCGCTTTGTCTTTAGCCTTTCTTAGTCATTAGCTCACAGGCCTGACAGCCTTGCCAGCCATAGCACCGATCCCTTTGACTAAAACCTTGTAAATTAACACAATTAGCGCAGCATCATCCTGCTAATTAGCGCTCAGTGTGTGTGTGTGTGTGTGTGTGAGTGCGCTGTGCAGGCAGGCTGCTGGGAAGGTGGTTGTTGGGGAAAACCGCATGCCTCGCTGCTACAGTAGAGGGAAAAGGCTGCTAAATACTGGCAATACTGGCCTCCTGGAATAGACCCTGAGATTTATACTATGGGTCAGTGTTGCGCACACAGGCTTACCTCAGTCCCAGACCTAAAAGCATTAACAGTGGAGAATCACACAGCAAAATCTCTAGTGTTGAACTCCTACAGTCTTAATTTCGGTGTAGCAGTGATTAAACCTACACTGCAGGTGCTAATTCAGCACTGTGGATTTTGTTTATAATTTAGTGCAAGACTCCAGAAATCACCACCTTGAGAACTGTTTCTTCCACCTGTTAGTTCATCTGATCTATGTAGACCAAAAATCACTGTGCTTATTATGTAGCATTGTGGCCTAAGGTATCAGCTGGATGATCATATCAACTGATATTAAAGACCTGTGGTATTACCGACATCAGGTGAAAATAATTAGCACATGATTGTAGACAATTATTTTTAGTCACAGCATCTCCCAACATTCAGACAAAACCTTAAAGAGTTCTGCCACTGGGCAGCTCAGTATGAGACTATTTGCAATTAAGACTTTCTCACAAGCCTATCAGTCAGTAGAGCATTGTTTAGCTAAAAAGTATAAAATACAGTAAAACAAAGATGTGTATAAAATTATATCAGCTGATATCAGCTATCTGAATTTTTAGCCCCTTAAAATTAGTATCGATATCAGTCAAAAATGTTCACATCGTTCAAGTGCAATTGCTAGTTGAACAGATCTACAAATCTCTGACATTACTAGAACAATCTGCACCTGTGCCATACAGTGATAAGGGACAGAAAGCTTTATGAAAGCTCTACGTTGCTGTATTTGGGTTATATTGGTGGTATATCATCTATGGACTGTTGGCTAGTGATGCACTGATACAAGAATTATAGACAAAATGTCTAATAATTGTTGTGTACATGCTTGCTGATGATGATCCCAATGTTGATATATAAACATTTTAGTAATGTTTATGATGCATAAACACTACTAAAACTGGCACTAGATCTACTCAGATTAGCAGAGAATATAAACCTATTTATTTGTGTAGGTTTTTAAATGCAGTAAAATGAATAAAATGCAGACAATTTAGTACAGTAGTCCAGCATCACATAACAGTTCAACGTTTTGCTCTAAAATCAGTCTGACATACTGGTCAAACATGTTTCTGATGCCGATATTTGTTTAAAGCGATTGTCTGCTGATACCAATATGATTTTGATATTACCATGCATCCCCTTTGTTGGCTACTACTGGAAAAATGTACTTTTAGGCTGTGTTTACTGTGTCATGGACAAAATGATCAGATAAAATGTTAAATATTTTAGAACTAATTATGAGATCTGTGGCACAGAATGTAAGATTCTGTATTTGTATTATTTGTTTCAGTGATAGATCAGTGTGTATGTAAATGTAATGTCCAGTGTGTCTAGATAAGCAGCAAGTATGTGTGCTTGGCTACAACAACATGCCTGTGGGATAAGAGGGCTGACTTCCACTCTCATCAGTAGTCCATACTGTGTGTGTGTGTGTGGGTGTGTGGGTGTGTGTGTGTGTGGGTGTTTGTGTGTGTGTGTCTATGTAGACCGCTTGTGTCATCCCGATGGTTCTCGAGTAAATGTCTCTTTGATAATCCCATGCTGAGTCTAAGATGACAGCATATGTAACTACTTGTGTTTGCAGATGGAGTTTGGGATTAAACTTGATGGTGGCTTTTGAGCCCTGGAGGCAATAAAAGAGAGAAGCTGGAAAGAGAAGAGAGTGAGCCAGAGAGAGAGAGAGGGAGGAAGAAAGAGCAAGTGAGCCAGAGAGAGGGAGAAAGACAAGAGAGGCATGTTTTTTCCCCTTTTCCAGTTCGCAGTGCTCCAGGAGGCAGCAGGCAGACAGAGAGCTGTTGTAATTCATGCCGTGCTGTGGGGTTTGTGTGATGAAAGCAGCGGAGCGCTGCCTGGGAGATTGCTTTGCTGCACTCCTCCAAGCAGATTTGAAACTGTCTGGGACTGCTTTAGATGAGAGTTGGATTATAGAGTGACCTGCGATGTCTGTGTCACTCCGCTCTGTGCAGGGTGCATTATACTGTGCTAACCAGGTGCTGGGTGCCCAAATCCACACTGCTCCTGTGATACTAACTGTCAGCAGGGCCTGTGATATGTAGCCTGCACTCCAGGAGAGCTGCAGAGTAGGAAATAGAAAGTAATATTTTTGTGTTGTTCTTGCTGTTTTTTTTCTCTCTCTCTCTGTTTAAAAGCAATCATGTATTGGATCATTGATTCTGCAGAGTTTCACAAAAAAGGGGGGCCTTTGCTGATCCTGTGCTCTCTGAACGTTATTCATCAAGTTTCTGACACTGGTGTTTGTTTTTTTTTGTTTTGTTTGTTGGGTATATTTAGGCTTAAAGATGCAGTGGACCCCAGAGCATGCGCAGTGGGCAGAGCAGCACTTCGACATCTCCTCCACGACCCGCTCCCCGGCCCACAAGGCTGAGGCATACCGCGGGCACCTGCAGAGGACCTACCAGTACGCCTGGGCAAACGATGACATCTCGGCTCTCACCGCCTCTAACCTCCTGAAGAAGTATGCTGAGAAGTACTCTGGCATCCTGGAGGGTCCCGGCGAGAGGGCGCTGCTGTGCTCATACCCAGAAGGTGCCGCAGGACTCTTGAACGGGCGCAAATCAGAAAGCGAGGCCTGGCAAGAGGGGATCTACCCAATGAACTGCACTGCAGATGTGATATCTGCGAGCAAAGCTGTTGTTCCAGCTGCTTTGCCCCCGGGAGATTCGACGGCCAGTGTCTGCAGCGCCGCAGGGGTTCCGAGCAGCCTGAGCGAACCCAGCTACTCAAGCAGTGGCTGCGGGAGCCACACGCCTGCTGCCCTGCACTCGGGAATCCCCTCTCAGGAATTTGCTGGTGGCTACAATGGCACGTACCTGCATTCCACTTACAGCGGTGGGCAAAGCACCCCATCCCTGGCCTCCCCACACCCCTCCCCTTTGCACAGTGGTGGGCTCCTCCAGCCTCCTCCTCCGCCTCCTCCTCCTCCCCCTCCTCCAACGCTGGTGCCCAGCTACAACGCAGGCTCACCCAACCTCTCCAGCTACAACTACCCTCCTGCAGGCTATCCCCCCCAGGCTGCTGTTGCTCCCGGCTACAGCCCCGGGGGAGCCCCACCTCCCTCAGCCTACTTGCCCTCAGGCATTGCGGCGCCTACCCCACTGCCCCCCTCTACTCTCCCTGGCTATTCCTACCAGTCACATAGCCATGCGCCGATTGCACCTACACCTCTGAACGGTAGCTCGGCCAACTCACTGAAAAGGAAAGCTTTTTACATGACAGGACAAGGAGACATGGACTCCAGTTATGGAAATTTCAGCTACAGTCAACAGCGCTCGACTCAAAGCCCCATGTACAGGATGCCAGATAACAGCATTGCTGATTCAAGCAGAGGGAATGGGTTTGACAGAAGTGCTGACACGTCATCTCTGCCATTTAAGCCCACAAAACAGCCAATGTCCTCAGACCAGCAGCGTAAATTTGGCAGCCAGTCTGGCAGAGCCATCACCCCTCCATCCTATGGGTCATCCAAAGGATCTGTGGGCTCGGTGCGATCAGGAGAGTCATTTGGGAAGTTTGGCTCCCCAGTCATGAGCGAGCATGGTGAGGAGCACAGGCAGCACTTGTCCCATTCCATCGGCACAGTGACTTCAAGTGGCCACCCGGCTGAGGAGCAGTTAAAGAACAGTGATGCCGGCCTGGTGGAAATGGTCACCACAGAGATTCTGCAGCAAACGCCTCCTGTTGACTGGAACGACATCGCAGGGCTGGAGCTGGCCAAGGCCACTGTCAAAGAGGAGGTCCTGTGGCCCATTCTGAGACCTGACATGTTTAGCGGCCTGGCGCCATTGCCGCGCAGCATCCTCTTCTTCGGACCTCAGGGCACAGGGCGGACACTGCTGGCCCGTTGCGTGGCCAGTCAGCTGGGCGCTGCATTCCTCCAGCTCAGCAGCTCAGCACTGGTCACCAAGTGGCTGGGAGAGGGTGACAAGGTGGTGCAGGCTTCGTTTCTTGTGGCTCGCTGCCGGCAGCCTTCAGTAGTCTTTGTTAGCGACGTAGATCTGCTGCTGTCGGCCCAGCTGAGCGAGGAGAGCCCGGTGAACCGGATCAAGAGCGAGTTGCTCCTGCAGCTGGATGGGGTGCTCAGCTCACCAGAAGACCACGTCCTGGTCATCTGTTCCACTAGCAAGCCAGAGGAGATCGACGAGGCTCTGCGGAGGTACTTTGTAAAGAGGTTGCTCATCCCACTCCCAGACACTACGGCACGGCACCAGCTCATCAGCCAGGTGCTCTCCCAGCACAACTACTGCCTCAGCGACAAAGAGGTTGCGCTGCTCGTCCAGAGGACCGAAGGATTCTCGGGGCTGGACGTAGTCCGGCTCTGCCAGGAGGCTATTGTGGGACCTTTGCATGGCATGTCCAGCGCGGACCTTTCCGGGATCATGCCGGGTCAAATGAGGCCACTGTCGTACCAAGACTTTGAGAATGTCTTTTGCAAAATCCAGCCCAGCATATCACAGAAAGAACTGGACACATACACTGAGTGGAATAAAATGTTTGGCTGTAGTCAGTAAGAGGGGAGGTTAAGGGGAACCATATGGGGGCAAACTCTCCTGCTCTAAGGAGAGGATACAATTCAGAATTCTTTGGGTGAAACATGCAGTTTTGAAGGGTGGGTGTTACAAATGCTAGTGACCCTTAAAGAACAGCAGTAAGGACACTCAGATAGACCTGAATGATGCATAGCTATGCTTAAGTCCATGTCTGGCCCTTTGCACATAGTCCAACAGAGAAACCTGCTCTTTGGCTCAACTCTGCTGAAGCCGAGTGTCACTTAATGAGGCGCACTGTCCTGAGATGACTGCGAAGATGAACTCGTTGTGTGTAAATACCATTCTGCTGTTTTTGAGATTCTGTTGCTATCAAGTGCCTAAAGTGGTGCTTTATTATTTTGTATTTTGGTTGGTTTGCCTCACAATCTACATTGGTGGCATGTGCTAATATAGAAAGCTTTAACCTGAGACTAAAACAGACATGTTCTGCTTTTTTGTCAATTCTGTCAAAAAAAAGAACAAAAAAAAACAACAACAGTATTCCTCAACTGAGTCTGGTCTGCAGGCCCCAAGTGGGAAAAAAAGAAGGTTCTTGTGGCATTTGTAATCTGGACCCTAATTTATAAACTTCATTTGCTTTTGATTTTCTTCAAAAACTCAGGAAAGTGATTGTGATTTGTACAGTACCTCAAAAGATTGTGTCAAAGCACTACATATAGCAGTTAACATTGGGTTTGGTTTTGAATTAGGTAAAAAGGTTCACCTCAATTGATTAAAAAATGACAAGGATATGACTATGAATGTAACCAGAGCATTTCTGGGTTGTTTGGGAGAAAAAAAGTTGAGGAGTATTTCTTTTATGTTTTCTTTTCTTTTCTTTACATTGTCAAATCTTGGAAGAAAATGATTCCATTTTGAGTACTGCTTGAAACAGAGGGTTAAAGAATGAAGAATTCTGAATTGTGTGCCAGTTTTGACTATAGCACCCTGTCCTCATGCATAGCACAGTACTGACTCTATAGCGCAAGCTCACATGTAAGTGACGGGCACAGCTTATTGTGCTGATAAGGTTCATTCGAAGCCTTAGCCACAAAAGAGAAGATGCAGCGGACCACGATATTTGTGTTTTGTAAAACTCTGTGTATTTGTCTCTTGTCAACGGACAGAAAAGACAGACACGCTGGGGTGAACCAAAACTTTTTTCCAAAAAAGACCACCAGATATAATCTTTAGAGGTTGTTTATGTTCTTCTATTGTTTTTGACTTTGTTCTGCTGCTGTGTGTCATCCGTGTAACAATCCTGAAGGATCATGTGTACCCTGCGTTCTTTTTCTACCTCAGTTTAGCACTGTTTCCTCTGAAAGCAGAATTAAACAGGCTAGCTTGACGTCCTAACCTTTTTTAGGCTTGCTCAGCTAGAAAGCCTGCTCATACAACTAGCTGCTTTTTTCCCCAATCAAAAGAATCAACAAATGCTACTCTGACACTATCTGTGCAATTCTTCTGCTCACAATACATGGTGCGCACTACCCCCCTTCATACACATGCTTCATGGGTTTTGTGTAGCACTCAGAGGGCACCATTCTCTGGACTCCTCTTTTGGTGTCCCTGCTTCTATTGTTGGCAGCTCTTTTCTTCACTAACAGTCAACAGCTAGTCACATGCTTGGGCAGTAGCACCAGAGGTTAAGGAAGCCTGCACCTATGTTTACTGCACACGAGGAAAGTAACAGAAAGCCTTGTGTTGAATGTATGTTTTTGTTTGTTTGTTTATGTTTACTCTCACCCTTTTTTTTTTTCTTGGAGCATTTCTGAGCATGCCGTTTTGTGAAGCACTAGCCGGGTGGTGCAGAGCTGCCAGCGTATGCCGCTGAAGGAGAATCCTGCAGGCATTCTGAGGGAAGCTGCCTTGTTTCTGTTTCTCCCAGGCCTTTACTGCTCCCGTCTACAACATAATGCGTCGGGATTGCTGATGTAGAGCTCGGACGCGTTTCTCTTCGGCACTGCAATTTTCCCCCGTTGATGGTGCTTATTTAGCCGCTGAAGCCATCAGTCCCTCCACTACATGCATATCTGACTTCCGCCAGCACATATCCCTTCATTCTACGACAGACGTGCGGTTAGTCTTTTATTAGCTGTAAAATGCCACTTGTTTTACCATTTTGCATTCATTGCATGATGTGAGATGCCACCCATGTTTGGTGTCTATCCAGTAGATCACCTTGGGATTTGGTCTGGCCTGTAATTACGTATTCCGTCTTGAAAAAAAGGAAGTAAATGTTATTGTGCAATTTGTCAAATGCACTTTTCAAATTTGTGTTAAAGTCAAGTATGTTATCTTGGCACCAAAGCAAATGCAGCCATTTTATGTAAAGATCCAAAATGAAAGCTCTGCTCGACTGGCTTATAAAAACATATGGCAAATGACAGCAGTTTAGCCTGTGCTTATTCAGCAGCATAGACTTTAATTTTTGTTTTTTTTTTTCTTTCAGAATAAAAAAGTTCTGTGTGTACTTAAGCCAAATAGCACTGATCCACAGAGCCGCTCTGACATATCGTGGACAGCATCTCTCTGTGTCATTATCTGAAACAGGCTTGCAGAATACCACTGTGCTGTGTGAACATACCACCAGCATTCCCTTACATATACCCCCCTCTGAAAGATCTCTGGACAGGCCATTCTTGACTTGGAAGTAATTGAGACTGCAAAAGCGTTCAGTTTAAATCTGCATTAAATGGAGAAAGCAACAGACTCTGAAGTACAAGTTTTAAAGCACACAAAACAACCCCAAATCACTTGAATATTGCTTTGTGTATTATTATTATTGTTTTTTCCTCTCCCTTCCTATATATGTTCTGTGTCCTGCGTTCTTCGGCACTCTTCCAGATGTTGCTGGTGTATCAGTTTTTTATTCAAACATTGTTCTCTAAAACCATTTCTACCTCATTGCTACATACATACATGTAGTACCTATGTTCTTGTCTTTTTTGAATGTCATGCATTTGTATAAAAGGAAAAAAAAGCAGAAAAACATAAAAGTGGAAGGAAAAAAAAAAAGAAAACGCTTGTCCTTGACTTGAGCAGTCTACCTCAGAAAGACTGTCCCTACACTGAGCAGTTTAGTAGCTGCACAAATGAGACGCACCACAGAGTGTTGAGGCAAAAATATTGCACACTTACTTAAGATACAGACATAACTTTGAAACTCTTTGAAATCTACTTACAAAACCACAATGGGTAAGGATATTGTGGGCTGTATAGGTCTTCTTCAAGGTCTCTAAATGCAGATTCAGTTTTTGGATTATAATAAATCGCTTTACTCCTTTGTGAATTGTAGTGTGCATGTGAACGTGTGTGCACTTATTATTAAGTGTGTAAGTGTGCATTTTTATATATGAAAATTCTATATGAAATGTACCTACATTTCATATACTGTATTTGTACATGAGATACACTTGCACATATGTGTACTTAATGTACATTTGCTATTGATATAACATTTTGAAACGCACCACATACATGTTTATATGTGTGTGTATGTACAATATTGCCATAACTACAGTCGACGTAAATGTATTTTCATGTATTCATAGGGACAAAGGACAATAAAAGATCATTAAAATGTTTTTGAAACGGCAGTGTGTGCTTTTTTTCCTGCTATGTTCCAGATACATCAAAACAAATTTAATGAGTGGAATTGTGCGTCATTAATTACAACGTTAAGCCTACGTATTCACTATTCATTTAGTGTGTTGATGAGCTTTTTAACTTTAACGCAAGGCTGAGACTAGAGAGATGCGATTCTTGAGAAAGACCTATACGCTGCACAATAAACATTTATAGCATCGCTTCTTTACTGAACCTCTCTCAAAACTAATTAACTTAATTTCTCTTTGAAAACATATTTACTGATGAGAGATCTCTATATTGAGAAATTGATTAAGGAGTAAAACTCTGGAATTGGAATACTGACATACTGTCATGCATGTTTCATTTCCTAGGCTTTTACATGCTTCCATTTGAAGATCAGCTCTGATTTTCCCATTGCAAATGTGTACTGATATATATTTAGATCTGTCTGTGCTTACATGCAGCCCAACAATATGAGTGCTACACATAATATCCATGAAATGATGCCTAAACTGATTCTACTTGTTACACAGACATTTACAAGTCACTTAAATCACTAAAACCACACAAAATCAAATTAGACATTAGAAGCATTAAATGTTTACTGGATATACAAAAATACACTTGTGCAGATTGAGTGGATTATGCTGTCACGTATAGAAAACGCACTCTGCCCTCCGTTAGCCATCACGAGGAACCGCAGTGCAACCTGCACACATCTACTAAACTGCTGTTTAAGAGGAGTTTTGTATTTAGCATTTGTAATGTAATAATGGGGCGGTTTTAGCCCTGCGGTCAGAGAACATGGCCATGAACTATAAGGTCATGGATTTGAGCCCAACTGATAACATTCCACTACTGCCGCTGTGCCCTTGAGCTAGGCACTTAACCCTTAGTTGTTTAAAGGGGGGGTCGCCTCTGATTGGCATATGTAAGCATCAATTATCCAGTATCAGTATAGCATCTCAGTATATAAATGGTTTCAAATCACGTGGAATAAAATTTCGTCACAGTACCGTTTTTTCAAGCACCGTTCCTTCTCCTATTACTACACTAAAAGTCTTGGGCATCTGAGAAACTGTAGAGATTTGTCTGTGCAAGAAGCATTCATTTGTTCAAAAACACAAACATTAAAATTAATACAAAAACAAGTAAAACAATTGTTTATGTTTGTAAGGTTTATGTTTGTAAGGTTTAAGCATAGCCATTTCCATGCATATATATATATATATATATATATATATATATATATATATATTCATAGCTGTTGTCAGAATGTGTCTCCAAAATGGTAAACTATGTCCCAAACTGAAAAACAGGAAAAATGCACATACGAGGTTTTGTTACAATAAAATGATTGTGTGTATATATATATATATATATATATATATATATATATATATATTTATATATATATATATATATATATTTGTATAGAGAGAGCGAGAGAGAGAGAGTGCTGTGCAAATGTTTTAGGCAACCTATATTTAAAAAGATGTAAATCTGGGCAGTATGCATTTATTTGCATAGAAAAACATTGATATTATAATAAATACAAATAATAATGCAGTATGTAGTGATTTTCCATACGTCGCTGTGTTCATTCAGCTATTTCCAAGTCTCTCCTTGAAGAAGAAGCCCAATATTATTTTTTAGTTATCATCCAATACTTTGTTTGCATTAAATGAAATCAAGAGTTCTGGTGATGGAGTTGAGGGTATCAAGAAGACCTCTGGAAAACCAAACTTTATTGTTCAGAATAGTTCATAACATCTAAATAAAAAAAATAAAAATCTTGTTACTTTTACTGTATTTATGTGTATCTATCATTTCTAATAATATATATTGAATTTATGAGCAAGTACACACTTATTGCTAAGATAAATAATTTTAAACAATGTGCTTAGGTGCCTGAGATTTTTGCACAGTACTACATATAGTATTTGCACAGTAGTACGTATAGATTTTCTTAGTTAATGCATCTTACTTACTTGCAGGTCCCTATATCTTATATCATGACAGCTTTCTTACATCTTTAAAAACAAAATCTTTCCATGGTTTAATTTTTGATTCTTGATTACTGCCAAAACATAGAGGAAACAACATCCCTCCAGCCATGTCCTTCAGGTTTAGAACACATCAAGGAGCTTCTTCAACACTTTGTTCTCCTAAATTCACAGTGCACCTTGAATATATTCAGAAGGCTGATCGGTGTAATCTTTTTTTCCGCCCACTAATCATCTTCCTGAAAGGTGACCCCTATTGCTTTCCCAAAAGCATTTTCTGTGTTTCTTAAATACAGTTTGCATTATTTCACATTTAAAAAAAAAATTCTTTCATTTCATTGTGAATAAGACACTAATGCTTTATATTTTCCGTGTTGAAGGCATAATTATGTAGTTGATGGTTTGTGCGTAGGATGCTGCTGTACAATTAACATTGGGAACTAGGTGCATTTGGTGCCCATCGCCGTTTCATTTGTGATCAACTGTGTGTCATTTCCACGGCTGTGCACATTAAAAGAAGCCTCTCCTAATGGATGCAATTCAGCAGGGTTCCCCTCAGAGACACCGCCAACACACTCCAACAGAATCACAAAGACAAAGGTTATCAGAGCCGGAGATGAAGGGACGACAATGGTTGATTTTTCTTTTTCTTTTTTTCTTTGTCAAGGTGTCTCCTCCTGTGTTCATATTTGTAATTTCTGTCTGTGGTTCTTAAACAGCAGATGTGTACGAAGATGCATACCTCAAATAAACATTCTGGAGATGGATACTGAAGCATATGTCTAAAATGAATTATATACACTCTACATCTAACTCTTAATAGGCAGCCTTAAAGCATGCTGGGTATTTAAGTCTTTTTCTCCCTCACCTGTCTGGCTATGTATCTTCTTTTTTTATTTTTAATTACTGGATGATTGGCTCAGTGTTTAATGAAATGTAAGGAATGGCTGCTTTACAGCTGAACCTTGCCTCCAGTACAGGTCACTCTTACTGTGCCATCTGCTGAGCCATTCTGCAATTGATTTATACTGATTGAGAGGGTTTCACACCATCAAAGAAGGTGGGTCATTTTTGTGTTTTCTTTAGCGTCCTGTCATTTATATCATGATCAAGCTTAGACGTTATTTCAAAGGCATTATGTGTCAGCCTGTAGTGAGTACTTAGGTGGGAATATCTCAGTATATATAGCAGAAGAGTTCAAAATTGACTTGATCAACAGAAATGAGGTTATGAATTTTATTTTGGGCAGATTAACTAGAATAACTTTATGATGAGATTTCTGATCATTCATTGTTTCTTACTGTCTTGACACACAGCTCCCCCTCTGTTTTCTGCTGGAATTACAAACAGGGCCAACATAAAGCTGGACCTCAGAAATCATGGTAAGCCGGTAGAATGAATATTTCTCTAATACCTAAGATGGTTTCGAGTGTCTTTGGTGCTTTTGAGAAAATGCATCACATGCATCTTGTACAGAGTTTACTGATGTTATACCAGTGTGTACTGATGTCATACAGCATGCCAGTGCTACAGGGGAAAAACTTCCTTCTTGGTCTAACATTATTTAAAAAAAAACCTTAAAATTTAAAATATAATATAGAAAATAAATAAATATAAATAAAAATAAATATAATACTAGCAATAATAATAATAATAATAATAATAATAATATTTTTCTGATAAGCTTCTGACACTAACACTAAACTAGAAGAGAATACCCATTCAACACCATTGTGTAATATATTTATATACACCTCATTTCATTTCACACAGACACAGACTTTACTTCTGTTCCTTTGTTATTGATTATCTGATTTGTCTGCGTTGTTGTGTGCGTGCGCATGCGTGTGTCTAGTCTTTAAATGGACCTTTGTGTTTCATTCTGTTTCCGAACAAAAGCAATTTACCCACCACAAAAAAACCCACTGTCGATAAGAAAAGAGGAAAATAAAGTTGTGTCAAACAAATTACACTCCAGTTATTAGTGCCTATTTTGTAAATATCAAAGATCCACTTGTCCCAGTGTTAGCTTCCTCATTAGCATTCTGATGAAAGTCGAGTGGATGTGTGTGAACTTGGGGGTTATCTGCGACGCCACAGCGCCCGGCGCCCACATCATATACACACACACACTCACACACACACTTACACACCCAGCACCGCTCAAGAGGATGAGCCACAGACCTCTCTCAAATCACTTCCTTCATAACAATTAAAATATGCAAAGTGATAATTTTCCTTAAGTAGCCTTAAATGTGCAATCTATTTAAATGTGAGGGAAATTGCCTAAAGCTTGGGGCGAGAGAGAGAGAGAGAGACAGAGAGAGAGAGAGAATAAATTATGCAAATAGCAGAAAGGACTCTTGAAAGCCTAATTTTTCTGTAATAAGCATACTGTTTCATTTAATTTTTTGCCTCTTATTAAAAGTGACAGTTCTTTTGCACTGTCTGATGGCTATATCTGACACAAGCTGGTGGAAATGACTGCCGGACTAAACGCTAAAGCGTTTTCTCTAGCTTTTAGATGATGGTTACATTCACAAAGTAATTATGCGGCGGAGAGTCCAGAAATAAGCTTTAATTACATAGTAATCGCCTCTGATGGACACTGGGAAGTGTGAACATTGCCAGACTGCAATCCATCAATGCCAAACCCCTGGCCACTTTTAATTCTCCCTCATTTGCATCATAACCTCCGCACCAAGTTGCACAAATGCTGTTAAATGTTAATAGGACCTGTCTCTCTACTCAAAATGAATGCTTAAGCCATTTCATCTCTTTCTGCCGCTTTCCCCCCTCTCTCTCTCTCTCCCACTCTTTTTCTCTCATCCTTCTGCTCCCCCCACTGTCTTTCCTTCACGCTCTCTCTCCCAGCCCTCCATCACTCTCTCTCTCTCTCTCTCTCTCGCCCTCCTCTCAACCCCCTCTCCACCACACATGCACACATACAGCCCTGCAAGCTCTGTCTCCTCCAGCCGCTCGTCAGGAGAGGACATTAGACTGAGGCAGCACATGGTCACTGCTGTGCTAATTGGGAGCACTATGCTAAGTTTTATCTCCCTACTTCTAACAAGCCATGCACACAACCGTCTGTGTGTGTGTGTGGTGTGTGTGTGTGTGTGTGTGTGTGTGTGTGTGAGACAGAAAGAGCATATGTTAGTGCTTGATAGCATGTGCATGTATGTACAGTATACGAGACAGCCAGACACAGACAGTTAACTCTTTTTTTTTTAATATTATTTTTCTGTGTGTCAGACAATGCAATCCATCTGCATTGTTCAGTTCTTAGGCCCTGGGGAGACGTCCAACGCCCGTCCAGGGGTACGAAGACACAGAGGCCGTTCCTTATTGATTGCAGATTGTGACTGGTGCAGCTTGTCCTGCGAATATATTCATAAAGCCCCTCATTCTCCCCCTATTTAAAACCCATACAGCTCATTATCTGTCTGTCTGAAACCCACCCGTAAACAATACCCATTATTACTCTGAATGGAGCGCTAACAGGCTTTGCTATTTTTGTTATTAAAGCTTGTAGCAGGTTGTAGTTTCCTTGATGAAAGCAGGCAGCGAGTTTAACGCGCTTCAATCTCTCTCTTGTTCTCTCTTTTTTTCTTCTTCTTCTGTCTGACTCACTCACTCTCTCACTCATAGCCGGTTTGTTTCCTGATTATTTTAATGAGACTTCATTCTGCAGAATGAAAATTCACCTGAAGTGTTCCAGTGAAAATGTGTTCTACCTGGAGAAAAAAAAGCACCAGGAAAATATAAACAACTCACCATTCCATAATGATGGACCTTGACACAGTGAGGAAAGTTTCAGCACTGTATCAAAATACCAGAAATATGTTTTCCACTCCTGAACAGCCCTACAGCCCTACCACCAACAAAAACAAGGCATTTGAAACGCATTACAGCAGGAATTACAATTCTGTGCAAAAGTCAGAGAGCACTCTTCATTTATTTAATTTCCAGTCAAAACAGCTGTAGCTACTCATTTTTGAGGAGATATTTCTAATGGGATTAAACAGGAGGTTTCAAAAGTGAAATTCAAAAAAATTTGAAGAAATGGAAACTTTACAGAAGAAGGAAAAATATACTTTACTTTTAATGTAAGTCAATGTAACCAGATGTTTTTCC